TGGCCTTTGAAACCACTGAGTCCACTGATCTAAGTGTTTGAGGAAGGGAGTTCCAGGGTCTTTGAGCCACAGAAGAAAAGCTTCTGTCTCCTTTAGTTTTCAATTTTGTCTGGGGGACATACAGTAGGTCTTGATCACAGGACCTCAAAGCCCTGATCGGGGTGTAAGGATGTAAAAGTTCTGAAATATAAATTGGTGTCTGTCCATGCAGAGCGCGCCAAGTCAAAACCAAAACCTTGAAATCCACTCGATAATGAACTGGAAGCCAATGAAGTTGCTTTAGAAGTGGAGTTATATGACAAAATTTTGAAGCTCCAGTCAGGAGTCTAGCAGCAGCATTCTGTACAGCCTGCAACCAGTCTACGGAGGTTTTGGTTAAACAAGTGTACAGTGCATTACAAAAATCCAGGCGAGATGAAACAAAAGCATGAATTAACATTTCCAATTCTGGATGAGAAACAATATGGCTAAGCTTGGAGATATTTTGCAGATGGTAGAAACAGGAATGAACCAGAGAATTGACATAATTTTTCCAGAGTAAAACCTGAGTCAAAGGTTATCCCAAGGCTTCTAACCGAAGATTTAGCAAAATGACCAAGAGGCCCAAGGATCTGCTTTATCATTGCAGTATTTTTTTTTTCTGGAGCAAAGATGATTACTTCAGTTTTCTCTTTATTTAGCTGGAGAAAACTTTCAGTCATCCAGTTTTTAAATGAATCCAAACAGTTAAGTAAAATGTGTAATTTTGAAACTTCATTTGGAAGCAAAGAGATATACAACTAGATGTCATCAGCATAACAATGACAGGCGATATCCTTAAAAGATGAAAGAATCAGACCAAGAGGGAGCCGATAGAGCAGAAACAGTAATGGCCCCAGAACACAGCCCAGTGGAATGCCAAAATGAACAGGGCAGGAGTGGGATCTGTACGTAGATGTAGCCAAGAAAGCTGATCTATCCGACAGGTAAGAGGACAACCATTTCAAAGCAAAACCAGAAATGCTAGCCCAAATCCTCAGCCTATCTAACAAGTTGGATGATCAACAGTGTCAAAAACTGATGTCAGGTCCAACATGAGCAGCACAGAACATTTACCTGCATCACGTTGCATAAAAAAAATTCATTTGAGACTCTAAGAAGAGCTGTTTCAGTTGAGTGGGATTTACGAAACCCGGACTGAAACATACACGTTTGGAGTTAAACCATTCAAAATGGCAGCCATCTTGAAGGGGGTTAACTCCAAAGGTTAGTCAGTTGTAGATGTACATTCATTGATTAGTTCCTGAAAGTTTAAATAAAATCTATCCAATCGTTTGTTAGATATTTTGCTAAGAAAGATGGAGTTGACTCCAATAGTTATTGTCAAAGCTTTAAACAGATTTTGAGCCGTTAGCAATGGATATCAGTCTCAGCAACTACATCACCATTTTTTAGCTCGATAGCTGTAAAATTAACTGAAATCTAACTATTTGTTTACTAAGGTTGCTTAGCTGTGGCAGCCATCTTGGATTGACTCTAAAAGTTATTCAGTTTTAGATGTCGAACGCTCTGAAGGTTTTATGAAGATTCTTTCAGTGACTTGTGAGGTATTCCGTCAACAGTACAAACGACCAAAACACACACACAAGTGCGCACACACACACACACAGGCAAAAACATTGTCGCACTGCCTTTGACAGCAAGAAATAAACTAAAATGTTATGATGAATTGCATTAGGTAAAACAAAACACGTTTATAAACAAAGAAATGCATACACATCTGAAACTGAAGTCTGGTTTTATTGTTTGTTTCTTGTATGTCATGCGACATCTAAGCATAATTTACAAACAAAATGAAGCAATATCCCAAACATTATTGGTTTCTATAGTTACCAATAAATACTCTGTCATACGACTAGATATTTTTTCAAACAAAGACAAACTTATCGTCCAACAAAAACAAAGGCACACATGAAAGAAGAATTTTGAAAAACAGACACTCCCATCCGAGCGTGTGCCACAAAAATTTCAATATCACAAGCATTGAGGAAATCCCCCGAGTGCCACGCGTGGATATTCATCTTGCTGTCTCATCATATTTTGACAAGCACCAACAAATTTGTGTCCTTAGCCCATGATACAGCATTTTGACAAGTATCACAACAATCCCCAGGAGGACAGCAGGGAAATTTCTCTGAACAAGAGAAGCTTTGGTTTTGTCCCAGGAGATAAAGTCCAGGGCTACACAAGAAAGAGTCCTCCCTCATATCAGGGCAGCAATACGACACTGTAGAGAATTTTAAACCGTAAGCTGCTTTTTCTATGCAGAATACATAGAAGCATGGAGAAGATTTTCTCAACTGTAGCTCATAACCATGAATCAGACGGCCAAATATATACTTTATGTGTCAGTACTGCATGTTATAATTACTTCCTGTTTGTCCACAAAACTCTCAACGTCTTTTATCTCTACCCTCAGCTAAAATAAGATAAAAGCAGCTGTCGAAATAATGGAAGATTTCACAGTGTCTTCCTTCCGCCAAGAAAAACCATCTAAACCACTTGTGCATCTACACACAGCTCAGTTTTAGAAAAGAGGTACGCTGTCATTAAATGTGTCTTGTTTACCGTGAACTTCGGCTAAAGAAGGTGTGGTTGAGCATCACCCTGTAAACTTTAACACACCGAGACAGCAGGGACACCGAGGTGATGTTGCACTACCAAAAAAATCTTTACTTGCTTGGCTTTTTAGTTTGTTTAACCTGAAGAAAAGACTGATGATGATGACGATGACGATGATGAATATTAATATTAATATTAATGTTAATGTTAATGTTGTTGTTGTTGTTGTTGTTGTTGTTGTATGGGGCCGAGATGGTGTAGAGGCAGGGCAGCCGGCTTGGGACCCGAGAGTCCCAGGTTCGATCCCCAGTCACTGCACATCACGTGGCGTCTCTGGGCAGCACGTCTAATCCCCAAAATGTCCCCCGGGCGCTTTCAATAGCTGCCCACTGCACCACCTGGTGGTGGATGGGTTAAATGCAGAGACTAATTTCGCCATTGTATGGAAACATACAGTGCTGACATTGTGATGACATTATTATTATTATTATTATTGTTGTTGTTGTTGTTCTTATTATTATTATTCCAGAGTCAGAGTCAGAGTCAGAGTTTCTTTATTGTTATTCGCACCTCATGTGGTACATGTGGTGGAGCGAAATTATGTACGCAGGGTCCCAGTTACATCCATTATTATTATTATAGCAACACCCAGCTGTGCTCTTCTGGACAGAGACCTCTGAGGTTATTCCTGGGATAAGTTCGAGAAAATCTGTATTTTCCCAGTGTCTATTCAGACTGCACAAAACTACAAATATAAGATAACGCTGATCCTTAACAGAATTCATTCAATTTGTTGCGAAGATCATAAAAAAAAAAAATTAAAAAAAAGAGCCCGAGAGTAAAGTTTAAATCATTCTAACATGAACACCTGTTTATTACAGAGTATAATAATAGTTGGAGGTACATTCACAGAAACTGCCTAGTTTAACGTAAACTGGATGCAGTATTGGTCACCTCCAAGTTCAGGATGTGCAATCTACATAATATGGTCCAATTATGCAAACTAAAACAATTAAGGATGCCTCCAAACATACAAGAAATTAAAAGCCACAGTATGACTGACATTATATAAAGTTAATAACAGGTCATTAGAACTAAAAGTGAACACACCTTTACTTTCTAATGACTCGAGCTTCTGATGCTCTCGCTACTCTCGACTTGAAAACTCTACAGTGAATCTGTCAGAAGTCACCCGTTCTTTTTGTTTGTTTGACCTCTCCCATCACGCACTGCTTCAGAAAAGAATTACAGTTGAACACCATCCTTTATGGCAGAGCAGGAGAGAAGAGGCAGCATTTTTATGAAAGGGAATGTGGCCCCTGGCTCCTCTGCAGCGGCCCAGGTCAGAGCAGAGCGCTACAGTGGTAATTACCGAGGGCCTGATTGCTGACAGGACCTTCCAACAGCCTGTGGTTAACTGCTTGGAGCAGAGGGGGAGGAAGCATCAAAAGCTCGACCCTGACACATGCTATGATGACGACTTGTACTTTGAGGGCACAGATGTTGGGCTCAAAAACTGCCATAAAAACAAACAAAACTTTTGTGCTTTTTGTTGTTTTTATTTTACTTCAGTCTGTTCAAGACACCTTTCAGAAAAAGACAGAATTCTCAAAAAGACTAACCAGTATATTTTTTTATTCATTTTTTAAAGATATTTGTTAAAAGTTGCTACCTTTGTGTCAATATTTCAAAATAAAATATTTTAAAGTAGATATATTTTTGTTCCATTTAAGAGAAAGCTATTTCAGGAGTGAAACCTGTGCACTAAACAGCAGGAGTGGATTTCTATTTAAATAGTTCTCCGACTGTGTGGGAGGAATGTGTGATTGTAGCAGCGATGCCTTGCCACAACTGGTAGAGTGCACCATTTTCCAACTGGATTATGCCAGTTTCTTCCTCAGGGTGGTCATTTGAGAGCACTTGGGATCATTCATCACGGTCACATGGATGCTCTAACCCAGTATTTTAGTCAACCAGGCTTTGCCTTCCAAGCACCTGGTTGATTTAGCAGTGGTGACAGAGATAGATGTATTTATACTGGACAGAGGTGTTTGCCTCACAGATATACAGTATAGCAAGAGGAACTGGATCAGTGCTTGTATATTCTTAAACTAGGAGGCAAAGGGAGAGGTATTCTGAGGGTGGAAAAGTTTTATTCTTCCATTTGTTGATACATATATGCAAGACTGTATGGTCTCTCCATACAACTCCACAACAATAAGGGAAGTGTCTCACTGGGCTGCAGCTGTCAGATTAATTAGAAAACATTTGTGTGAGACTCTCTAAAATGTCTCAAAACATTCACAGAACTTCACAATGTCCTCGCTCGTGTCACAGAAGCTCAAAACCTTGTTGTTTGTATTTTGAACAAGTTCAAAAAAAGCTGCCAAGTGCCTTACCTCTGATGGCTTCTTGTGCTGATGGTGGACCCATGTACTGCTGGTGCCTGTATTTTTGGACGACCTGGACCACAACGTCACTTGACCTGCAGCAAAGTGGAAAGGGGGGAAAAAAATGGGGCAACCATTATCATCGTTACAAAAAGATAAAGGAACAGGTCTTGTATCTACTTATTTTGTGAAATACATTTATCCGTGTTTGAAAAGTGCAATAAAAGTTGCACCGAGTTGGAATTTTGATGTCACACGTCCAGCATCTGCCTAAATTTACACAGAAGAGACTTAAATGTCCCTCTGGATAAGTTTTTATTTCAGAATATATACTAATAAAAACAGGAGCAGAATTACGAAGCAGTGGGGAATTTGTTACCTATTAAGGAGCTAAAATCTACGTAGCAAGTTGTTAAATTAGCAGTAGACAATGATCAAGGCTTTTGTAATTTACAATAGATGTGATTTAAATACAAGTGAGAGGCCCTAAAAATGAAAGCAGCCACTCCAAAACCTCAGTGACGGCTCCACACGGCTGCCACTCCAAGTCAGCCCTTTAGTTAAAAGTGACTGCTGACGATCCATGAAGAGGTTAATTATGTAATGACGATATAAATAACATCTTGTTAAGCGTTTAGTCCACTGTTGTCCATTACGAGCTCATTAATACACAGCTTCATCCTAATTAACTCAACTGTGAAGTCAATATCCCACCCACCATTCAATCAGCAACGCTGGGAGGGCTTTTCTGTGCATTTACACAGGACATGTGAATCGAAAGCTTATTCTCAAAGCATTATGAGTAAAGCTGCCAGTAAAATGTTGCATTGGACAATGAAATGGCAATATTGGAAAAGCACAAAACTGCCAAAGTAACACATTAAACCTGCCTTCATGTGAGCCTGAACGCACATGTTGCCTCCCACTCAACATATTTCCCTTTGCAACACAACTGTGCTGCCACCACACTCCTCATTACTCCTCATTACTCCTCATTACACCTCAACAACTAACTGAACTAAAGGAAGAAGTCCTGCCTTAAAACAGTTGCGTATTTACCAATTATTTATGCATATTCCCACATATTCTTTCACCACAGCAGGAGTTAAAGTCAAGTATTACTTAAAGGAATCCACATCGCGTACTGCCTTATATGGTTTTAGATCTCAAAGATCGCCACAAGTAATAACACTTGGAGTATGTGTTGAGGATGACTCTGAGCTACAACCACACAAACTTTAATGCATTGTCTGGAATTTTGAGGAATAACCATTGTTGTGTTGATAAAGGTGGATTAGCTGCGGTAGCTATCACGACTCCAAACAGAGTGCTACTAAAGTCAACGGCGTGTTGACTACAGCCTTAACTATTACAGGTAATGGCATCCTTTTAAGGAAAGATATTGCACAATGTTGGCGCTCGGTGTACGTTTTGAGGATAACTCTGAGCTACTACCACACAAAATTTTAGCTCAATATGTGCTAAACTGACTGAGTTACATTTTGTTTGTTTGTTGTTTGGCAAAGTCATTTAGTTGCTCTGATTGGTAGTCAAAATGTTACAACACAATAAACGTAAACAAACATCGTTTCATTAAGGGCCTGTGATGCACATCTCCATTTTTGAAACTATGTGTGAGGGGCAAGTTACACGCAGGAAGAGCAACAGCAGAAAATCTGTGAGCACATTATTAACTAAAGGCCTCCAAACAGCTGAACAAAAAGTCAAGGAGCCTGAATCACTGCAGATATTTCAGAAGCTTCAAAAATATCTTAAATAAGATGAAGAGTCTTTGTTTTGTGTCGGTATGAAAAGTAAACTTCCTGAGCTCGACTCCTGTTCTTGTGCCATTCCTGTTTTATACAGGTATTTTTCAGTAGTGACGCATATCGTTAAAAATAAAAAATGCAGTGAGTCGCCTCTCCGTCATAATTCACACATGCACCAAGTGGCACACCAGCATAATCTTGCTTTTATTTGTTGACATCTGAAGCATTAAAAAGCTTCTGAGGCTTGGTCGCAAAAAACACCACAGCCAATAAACTCTGTATGTGAGACCATGTAGCAAAAAGTGGTTAAAGTTATATAACTTCTCAGTTGTTGGTTATTATGTCAAAGCAACAAAAAAAAAAAACCAAGAAAAGCGTCAGATAAAAATTGGTCAAAGTTTGCTACATTATATTGGCTTGCGTTTCTCGTTTAAATTTATTAAACAGCAACACACATGCACACAGATCAGGAAATCCATCTTCCTCAAAGCCATGTTTGTTCTCACAAAAACTGTCTTTTATTTACGGGTTACTGAGAAAGGCTGATGAAGCCCCCGATGACTGTTCTGACAACACATCTCGTGTCTGGGTGCATCCACAGGATCACAGAACCACCAGAGAGCAATAAACATTTTAGCACTGGCGTTCAAACAATTTGCTGCTTATTCACACTTGAGAAATTTTGAGACTTCTCACGAGTCAGCTGGACAGGATATTTCAAATGTTTCAGACGTTTGCTTCGGAGAATACCTTAAATGGTTCTGTGCGCCGCTTTCTTCACTGTAACATCCTGAGTATGAGGATCTGAGAAGAGTTCATGAGTCCGTTTGGTGCGTGTAGTCAAGGTTTGAGTGAAGTGTTGCTGCTTTGTCCTTTAAGATGAGACGTGCCGAGTTACCCACTCAGCTGATATTCAAGACTAAATGTTTCCATCATTTCTCTCTGGATGTTTACAATTGCTGTGAATACATTTGCAGCTTTGTATGTTTAATATTCCTCCTTTGCTCTGGAACATTTAATGAATTCTCACACAAAACCCCTCCAGAACATGTTTGCCCTAATTAACTCGAGTTGTTCTCACGCTGAACGAGTGCAACACTGGTCTTCTTAAAGGTTAATCACTCCAATAGGCTCTGTGCACATGCGTCCTGAATCACTTCCGCTTTGACCGGATGTCGGCATTCCAGTTTCCGGTTTAATTCCTGTATCCTGTCATCCCAGAGATAAACAACTAAAATGAGTGTTGCTGCGTCAAATAAACAAAAATATAACGTGCGTGGCAGCTTTAGATTTCAGCCGACGGTGTTTGGGTCTAAGGAGCACTGTTGTGTGCCGCTTTGCTCGTCTTCAGGTCGCTATAATAGCCGTTTGAGCTTTCACCGTTTCCCTAAGGAGACAAGCCTTCGTTTGTGCTGGCTGCAAAAAATCAGAAGAGAGGGATTTACGGTAACTCCTCACACCAAGGTATGTAGCCGACATTTCCTGGAGAATGAAGTAATTACTACAGAAAAGGGAAGACGAATTTTAGCAGCTGGGTCGGTTCCATCATTATTTGAGTGGAACAAATACAGCAGGAAGACACGAGCAGGTGTTTGGGAGCGCCGTTGTCGACCATCTAATCCAGAACCTGATTCGGCGGATCCAATTGAGGACAATGAACCACCCGTCATGGTACCTATGGTCGTGGACCATGACTACGGCGCCAGCAGAACCGTGTGTGTTGACCGGGAGCAATATCACAGCATGCTGAGAGAAATTGAGCAACTGAAAGAGCAGCTCCGATCCTGTAGTCTTCAAAAGCCGTTTGGACTGGAACGTTTTTCTACGTCACCAGAAGACATCAGATTTTACACCAGGTCAGAGTTGTAAAATCTAAATATTACGTTATGCCTCTGAAAAAAATTAATACGCTTTGAGTCATTGTATATTTTGTCACATTACAACCAAAAACAATTTCATTGTAATGTTCTTTGAGAGACCAACACAAGTACACACTTACTAGTGGAAATGAAATTATACATAATGTAACACATTATTATTATTATTATTATTATTATTATTATTATTATTATTATTAGTAGTAGTAGTAGTAGTAGTAGTAGTACTAGTACTAGTAGTACTGTATTTACAAATGATACTGAAAAGTGTGGTGTGTTAGAGTAATCGGCTCCCTTTTCTGTAACTAATATTCCTTCAGAAATAGCTTTAATGATTACAAATGGCTATGGAGTCCACCCGTGTGTAAACTAATGTCAAATACAAATACAGCAGCTAGTGACAGCCTCAGGTCGGTGAAAATAGTTGGTTTCTGTGATTAGATGACACACAGGCTGACTATTATGCCATTAGCAATCATCAGGAAACTTATGAAGACTAGAAGTTACTCTCTGATTTAAGGGGGCTGAACATTTGTGCTCAAAATAGTTTTCAATTTATAAAAAAATTACAAACCTTCAAATCATGTATAATTTTCTTTCCACTTTACAACATAAAATTTCAAAGAAAGATATTTATGTTCTTAGTTGTACCGTGTCAAAATTTGAAAACTGTTTTCACAGTTATAAATGTGGAGAGTGACAGTTTATATATATATATATATATATATATATATATATATATATATATTTTTTTTTTTTATGTGTTTTAGGTTCCCCTCATATGAGCATCTGAAGGCGTTTTGGAACTTGATCGAGGCAGCAACAGCCAAAATGGTCAGGGTCACCAGAGCAAAGAAAACCGACGTCATGAGTACAACAACTGAAACCCCTTTTACCAGACCAACTGTAAGTTACACACACACACACACACACACACACACACACAATGAGAATGCTGGTTTTGAACTAACATTTAAATAATTTTCTGTCCAGAAACTGCTGCCAATAGATGAGCTTTTTCTTTTCCTCTCCTACCTGTCTACTGGATGTACCCAGAGGGAACTGGGCCATCGATTTAACATCCACAGAGCAACAGTCAGCCGCATTATTGTGACATGGGCCAACTTCCTGTACTGCTTATTGGGCTCAATTTGTGTGTGGATGTCTCCTGCAGCTGTGAGTTCCAGTCTTCCACAGGATTTTGATGGCCGCTACAGTGACACACAAGTTATCCTGGACTGTACAGAACTACGGTGTCAAACACCTTCATCCCTGCTCCTCCAGAGTGAAGTCTTCTCCACCTACAAATCCCACTGTACCTTTAAGGCCATGGTGGGCATGTCTCCTCACGGAGCCCTGACATTTGTGTCAGCACTGTTTGAGGGTTCCATGAGTGACAAGGAAGTGTTCCGTCAATCAGGGATTACATCACTCTTGACACTGGACATG